GGCGACGGCGGGACGCTGCCCGGTGCTTGTCGGAATTAATGGAGGGCGGCTGGTTGTAGAAGCTCGACGAACGGGGTCGCGACAGGACGGCGACTGTGGCTCACGAACGGACGCCGGGCCTCGATCGCCGTTCACCTCAGTTGACGGTTGGTGAGGGCCGAAAGAAATTTTTGAAGGAGGTGGGGTTCTTCCTCAATCGATAGGAGTCAATCGATTTTAAGGGGGAGGGATAAGCTCGGTTACAACCGCTCGAAGAATTTGGGGGAGGAATCAGAGAGAATTTCCGATAGAATCGCAACCAATTACCGATGCGGCCTGGTCGTGAGCGAAGAAGAAGGAACGACAATTTCAAAAAGGAAGCTGGTCGCTGAAGGGGATCGTGCGCAGGGCGAAGAAGAAGAAGATTTGCTGCTGCACAAGGGCCCAAAATTTTTTAACTCCTTTGGGCCTAAAAAAAAAAGCTAAAGGTTTGGACCATTAACAATTAATATCATTTGGGCTTAAATGATATATAAATTGGGCTGGGATTTAAACATAAGACTAGCTTGGAGAAAGGCTCGAGTACAATCGCGACGACAATACGGATTAAAAATAAAACCGGACATTATATATATATATGATACAAACAATAATATAATTTAATAATGACAAGCATTTAAAATAATTAGACATTTAATGACAATAATAATAATAATAAAGTCAATTTAATAATAGCAAGTATCAATATTTATTCCTGAATAATCCACGGTAAAACGGGGTATTACAGTCGATTGATTATCATCTCGTATTGGTTATGGCATGAGACTCCGGTGATCTAGATTGCGGATTGCTCGTCTTTTGATCTTGCTTTCTATTAATTGCTCATTTTTAAGTGTTCAAGTAGTGTTAATCAACCATCCAATCAACTGTTTAGAATGTTTAGGATTTTATTTTCGATTTTTGTGATTTGGACGATCATCTAGTAGACAAAGCTCCGAATAGCCTTCCTTCGAGATCGACCCGAGTCGGGTAGCTCGGTTACCCCTTGCCCATCATTTTTATACCAAACAAAATGGCGCCGTTGCCGGGGAAGGCGAGTAGGACGCCAAGTTTGCTATCTAATTGTCTCTTTTTCTCGTGTTTCTCTTGATTTTTGTGATTTTGCTTAATTCTGTGTTTCTCTCGATTTCTCTCTCTTTTTGTCTATAGTTGCGTTTGTTGCTTTAGCTTACTTTGCTTCCCATTGGTACGTTCACCGGGTATAGTTGTTGTTTTTGTTTA